GACGTTTAATTAACGGCAATTCCCTGTAATGGTCTTAAAAATCATTACATGCGACGTTACTAATGCGAGTTTGTTTTTCTTATTGTAAGTCAACAAAGAGTAAACGCATTGGAAGAAGAGGAACAAGCCCTACGCGATCTGAACTCGCAGAACGACGAGTTGTAGACCATCAACGTTGATGATCTATGTCGAATAAGTGGAGTCCTACTCGAGTAAGACGGGAACGGTGTAACGAACAAGGTAACTTCGAAGTCACACTTCGCGACCAGCATCTTACCTGGACATTTCACTGCTCCTACAGAGTAAAACTATTTTGTAATAAAGTTTCTCTTTTTGTACTCGAACCGCGTCTTTCGATTTAAAAAATATATCTGTTGTGCCAGTACACCGTGTTCTCATTTCAGAGGCACTTACCGGTCCTGCCTGTTGTGTTTTTGTTTCAGGTCGCTCATGCTCCCAAGTGAATGTCAAACTAGCACGTGCTACATCCCGTTTTCTTGAACGTATATGAAACGACTCACTGAAGAATTACAAAGCAGTAAAAAAGATGAGCACAAGTTTGATGAGTGTTTATCGTGTGGTAAACTTCATTCACGTAATTTCTGTGCATTCCTTCGTGTTTAGTGTTTTAAGTGTGCTCTTCTTGATGTACATATACGATCTTTCACAACAGGTATCGTCATATTTATTACTTTTCGCGGATGTAAAAATCTGGAGAGAGGTACGTAATAACGAAGGTAAACTAACACTTCAGGAGGATCTAACTCGACTTCAAAGTTGGGCAGACGACAACGGACTTACCTTTAACACTTCGCAGTGTGAAGTAATTTATCTGAGACATGTTGCAGACTAACTCCGCCTGTAGCTCCTCTGGGGGTTACTGCCGGTCCCAAGCCCGGGTAATTGAGGAGGGTTGGGGATGGGGTTAGCGACCCCATCCCGTAGAAAATCAACTCGCTAAAAAAACGCTAACCAGAAAAAATCATTCAAACCTTTCAAACTCTGCCCTGGGAGTAGAAGGAATAATTATGACGTCTCATGATGAAAGCCGAGTTCATTCGGAAGTCATGAGGCCGATGCACCTTCTTACAACCAGAGCGAAAATTTTTATAGGTACATGGAATGTCCGAACAATGTGGGAGACCGGAAGAATTTTCCAAATTGCTGCAGAAATGAGAAAATACAACCTGGAGGTTCTTGGAATCAGCGAAACACATTGGACGTAGCTTGAACAACAACGACTGTCTTCAGGAGAACTTCTGTTATACTCCGGTCATGAAGAAGAAAATGCCCCACATACACAAGGAGTTGTATTGATGCTGTCCAGAAAAGCACAAAATGCACTTATAGGATGAGAATCTCATGGACCAAGGATCATCAAAGCCTCCTTCAAAACAAAGAGAGAGGGCATTACAATGAACGTCATCCAATGCTATGCGCCTATCAATGACTACGATGAAGACGCTAAAGACCAATTCTACGATAGGCTGCAGTCGATCGTCAAGAAGTGCCCAACCAAGGACCTGACAATTCTGATGGGAGATCTCAATGCTAAGGTTGGAATGGACAACACTGGATACGAAGACGTCATGGGACAATATGGACTGGGAGGAAGGAACGAAAACGGTGAGAGATTTGCAAACCTATGTGCCTTCAATAAACTGGTCATAGGTGGCACCATATTCCCACACAAAAACATACACAAAGCCACTTGGATTTCACCGGATCACACTACACAGAATCAAATCGATCATATCTGCATCAACAAAAAGTTTAAAAGGACGATGGAGGATGTGAGAACCAGAAGAGGAGCTGATATAGCATCCGATCATCATTTGCTGGTCGCCAAGATGAAACTAAAACTTAAGAAGCACTGGACAACGGCGCGGACAACATCACAAAAGTTTAATACGGCCTTTCTTCGAGATGCTGACAAACTCAACAAATTCAACATAGCCCACAGCAACAGGTTCCAGGCCTTTCATGACCTACTCAATGGAGAGGGAACCACCATAGAGAGCAGCTGGAAAGGTATCAAGGAGGCAATCGTTTCAACATGTCAGGAGGTTCTGGGCCAAAAGAAGCACCATCACAAGGAATGGATCACTGTTGGTACAATGGATAAGATTGAAGCAAGGAGGAACAAGAAGGCAGCAATCAATATCAGCCGAACAAGAGCGGAAAAAGCCAAGGCACAAGCCGAATACACAGAGGCAAACAAGCAAGTGAAGAGGAGCATCAGAACCGACAAACGTAAATATGTTGAAGATTTAGCAACGATAGCGGAAAAGGCTGCAAGAGAGGGAAACATGAGACAATTGTATGATACAACAAAGAAACTTGCTGGAAATTACCGTAAGCCAGAAAGACCAGTGAAAAGCAAGGAAGGCAAAGTAATCACCGACATTGAAGAACAACGAAACAGGTGGGTAGAACACTTCAAAGAACTCTTGAATCGACCAGCTCCACTGAACCCACCCAACATCGAAGCAGCAACCACGGACCTCCCAATCGATACTGGCCCACCAACAATTGAAGAGATCAGCATGGCCATTAGACAAGTCAAGAGTGGCAAAGCAGCGGGACCAGACAACATCCCGGCAGAGGCACTGAAAGCAAATGTAACAGCAACTGCCAAGATACTCCACATCCTCTTCAGTAAGATTTGGGACGAAGAACAAGTACCAACAGACTGGAAAAAAGTACTTCTCATAAAGATACCAAAGAAAGGTGATCTTAGCAAGTGCGACAACTACAGGGGCATCACTCTTCTCTCAATACCAGGAAAAGTCTTCAACCGAGTATTGTTAAACAGGATGAAGGATTCCGTAGACGCCCAACTTCGAGATCAACAGGGTGGATTTCGTATGGATAGATCGTGCACAGATCAAATCGCAACTCTACGTATCTTTGTGGAACAATCAATCGAATGGAATTCATCACTCTACATCAACTTCATCGACTACGAGAAGGCATTTGATAGCGTGAACAGGACGACACTATGGAGGTTTCTTCGACACTACGGCGTGCCTGAGAAGATAGTAAATATCATACGGAACTCCTATGATGGACTAAACTGCCAAATCGTCCACGGAGGACAACTCACCGACTCGTTTGAAGTAAAGACCGGTGTTAGGCAAGATTGATTACTCTCACCCTTTCTCTTTCTCCTGGTCATCGACTGGATCATGAAGACGTCAACATCTGGAGGAAATCACGGGATACAGTGGACAGGCAGGATGCAGCTTGACGATTTAGACTTCGCGGATGATCTGGCTCTTCTATCACAAACGCAACAACCATTGCAGGAGAAAACGACCAGTGTAGCAGCAGCCTCAGCAACAGTAGGTCTCAATATAAACAAAGGGAAAAGCAAGACTCTCCGATACAATACAATATGCACCAATCAAATTACACTTTAAGCTTTGGAGGATGTGGAAATCTTTACATATCTGGGCAGCATCATTGATGAACACGGTGGATCAGATGCAGATGTGAGGGCGCGGATCGGCAAAGCAAGAGCAGCATACTTACAACTGAAAAGCATCTGGAGCTCAAAACAATTGTCAACCAACACCAAGGTTAGAATTTTCAATACAAATGTGAAGACAGTTCTACTGTATGGGGCGGAGACGTGGAGAACTACGAAAGCCATTATCCAGAAGATACAAGTGTTCATCAACAGCTGTCTACGCAAAATACTTCGGATCCGATGGCCAGACACTATCAACAATAAGTTACTGTGGGAGAGAACAAACCAGATTCCAGCAGAGGAAGAAATCAGGAAGAAGAGCTGGAAGTGGATTGGGCACACCTTGAGGAAATCAGCTAATTGAGTCACAAGACAAGCCCTCACATGGAATCCTGAAGGTCAACGGAGAAGAGGAAGACCAAAGAACACATTACGCCGAGAAATAGAGACAAACATGAGAAGAATGAACAAGAACTGGATAGAACTAGAAAAGGAAGCCCAGGACAGAGTGGGTTGGAGAAAGCTGGTCGGCGGCCTATGCTCCATTGGGAGTAACAGGCGTAAGTAAGTATGTTGCAGACTACAGTTACAACTTAAAGAACTCCTCTGTAGAGGTCTCCTAAGTTGAACAACATCTAGCAGTGTTGGTACCGTATGGTTTGAGGTTTTAAGCTAGCTACGACAAAAATGCCTCCCGAACAAACCTTGCACTGGTAGTATTGAAGTGCATTTTCGGCCAGTTTGACGGAAGAACCTTCTATATAATCTGCAACAGTTTTATTCCTCCCCATTTGGAGTAAGGAAACATAATATTTCCTTCCTCATTACAAAAGAATAACGATACTCTGGTTCGTATCTAAAGGCGAGCCACGAAATCAGTCCGGGTACTCAAGTACATTCTTTATGAAGAGAGCCTCCAATCACTGCGCCTTTATCCATTAGAGTACAGGCGTCTTAGAGGTGACCTTCTAATGGCTTATAGCATCCTAAACACTTCTAGACACCCCCTTAAACACCTAACTAAGCTTAGTCCCAACAAAAACATAAGGGGAAACACCCAGGAACTGGAGACATAATACACTGCAGAACGGACTGTATACATACCTTCTACTCCTTAAGAGTAGTCAAATGCTGGAATTCGCTGCCGGCTGAGCTAGTCCAAGCGACTTCCCAGGAGTCCTTCAAGAGAAAACTTGACATATTCTTAAAGACTAAAGATAGTACCTTACTATGATTTACCAACTTTTTTCTTTTTCCTCTTTTATCGATAATATACCTAGGTTCCTGCCTGTATGTATTGGTGATCCACTGCTACTAGATACGGAAGCCCGTTAAGCGAAAGCTCCTTCTATTCCGTCCAGAACCATTTGAACCATCGGACAAATCAGGTCAGTTTGTAGAACTACTGTTCATTTGATCACTACTCAGTCTCCCAACTTTTGGAGATATTCTGTAGTCCTTCCGAAGTCAAGTCTGGTGAAATCTTGAGATTTCTGTCACAATTTTCCAAAATTTTCTATAGTGGCTTCTGAAAACAGTGGTATCTTTTCAAATCAAAATTTGATATTGGCTTTAAGAACACATGATAAGAGCTAGCAAATATTGTCGAACAAATGAAACATACATGTAATGAAAGACAGTGTTTTAAACACGGTGGTCACTAACTTCATAATATAAAAAGACTAGTAAAGCGACAACAGAGAAATTTCAAAATTTCAAGCGTTCAGGAACCAGGTAAAACCGCTACCAAAATATAACAATGAATAAAAAATGAATTCGAATTTATTCGTTTTTAAATACTAAACAAAATATGTACAAAAGCTGAATGAGTAAATAATAAAACCCACAAACGCTTAGTGCCATGATAGAGTAGAATAGCAATGTGCAATTTGCTCTACTGTAGCAACACAATCCATTAAGATATCTGTTGTCAATCCATATTTTTCATATTGATGTATATATGCTCTAGAAGCAAACAGTTCCCAGGCACGGAGGGATACATATTTCAAACTAGCTGATGTGTCACCTAAGGATGCTGCAGACATCCAAAACTCTTTCCGATCAGTTTCAGCAGTAGAGACATTGTCTATACGTGAGCCACCACCATTAGAAGCAACAAACAAACTACGAGGATATTCTCCAAAATGACGATGATGCCCACGAACAACTGAGCCAAAAGAAGAAGGAACATGAGCTGGTGGAGGCCCAGAAATCAAAAGTTCCCTTGTAAGTGAATGAACAAAAGTATTCGAATCTCGAACATGATCACTTGCTCCGTCACCTCGCAATACAGATAAATAGGAAAGTAATGGGAGCCGTGAATTTTCAATTCGGTTATTAGATCCACAATTTGAAGTACTGGCCGACCAATCAAGTTCTAAATACCAGAAAAGATAGTTAAACAATGGTAGTTTTATTATTATTGAAATATTATCATATGACCAAATTTTATAATCTGAAGACTGTTAACAGAGAAAATATATTTCCATCAGAAATTACGTTCTAAACACAACATTTCCAATAACTCTTTATTTTGGATGTATACATAAATGAGACCACATTCATTGAAAGACAATAAACAGTAAGAATATAATTTGAATGCGAGAAATGGGAGAAATCAAATCAAAAAATAGACAAGGATTGGGCATTAAGAAGTATTGTTCATTTAGTTACTTTATATCAGAGAAAACGTAATCTGTATTGAAAAAGAAATATTATGATCAATTGCAGGGATTTTAACAAAAGTCAAGTTATTTCATAAAGAATCAATCAAAAGGAAAGCATAACTGCAAACATTAAATCAACTATGTCTTGTTGTTGGCTACAATATTAGAGTAGGAACCCTAAATCGCACTCTAACTATCAGCACATAATATTTAAATAACTATTCTACTGCGGGATTACTCAACTAGTCCACTTTAAAACAATATATCATCAATACCATTGGACACAATTAGGAATTATGTGAATATATTTTTTAAATCATCGTTGCAGTAATAATGGAATTGAACTTCTAGGCAGTTAAATATCCAAACAAATATTAATGGGGTTATTCGTCAATTTTATGTGATGGATGAAAAAAATCAGAATATTTTACGAAGTAAATAAAAAAAGGAAAGACCACCAGTCGTTAAAAGTTTACAACTACCATGTAACAACGTAATTTTGAGCAGTGAATTGATCAGAACGCAATTACATATGGGGCAGTTGCTTATTCTGGTTGGCATTTTTGTAGCTAACTTTTCAAAAGAGTGTTGCTAAACCGGATGAAAGATTCAGTAGACGCTCAACTTTGGAATCAACAGGCCGGATTCCGTAACACTTGGTCGTGCACAGAACAAATCGCCACACTAAGGATCATCGTTGAACAATCAATTGAATAGAACTCATCACTATACAGCAACTTACTTGACTATGAAAAAGTATTTGACAGTGTGGATAGAGGGACCTTGGAGAACCCTCTCTGATACTATGTACTACCTGGAATCGTCAACATCATCCAGAATTTATACGACGGACAACACTGTAAAGTCTTGAATGGAGAAAAATTGAAAGACGCATTCCAAGTGAGGACCGGAGTCAAACAAGGCTGCTTACACTCCCTCTTTCTCTTTCTTCTGGCGGTCGACTGGATCATGAAGACCTCCATATCTGACGGGAAGCACGGAATACAATGGACACCTCAGAATCAATTAGACAATTTGGACTTCTTAGATGACCTGGCCCTTCTATCTCATACATACCAACAAATGCAAAAGACAACTACTGTAGCAGCAGCCTCTGCATTAATAGGCCTCAATATACACAAGGGAAAAAGCAAAATCTTCAAATACAACACAGAGAACACAAACACAATCACACTTGATGGAGAAATTCTGGAAGAGGTGGAATCTTTCACGTATCTAGGGAGCATCATCGATGAACAAGGAAGATCGGATGCAGATGTAAAGGCAAGGATTGATAAAGCAAGAGCAGCACACATACTGTTGAAGAATATATGGAACTCAAAACAACTGCCAATCAATAATAAAGTCAGAATCTTCAATACAGGCGTCAAGACAGTTCTACTGTACGGATCTTGAACTTGCAGAACTGCCACAATCATCATCAAAACAAAACAAGTATTTATAAACAATTGTCTACGCAAGATACACAATATCCATTGGTTGGATACCATCAGCAAGGCTACTGTGAGAGAACAAACCATCTTCCAACTGAAGAGAAAATTCGGAAAAGACGTTGCGAGCGGATAGGACATACATTCCGGAAATCGTCGAAGTGCATCACGAAGCAAGGTGATAACTTGGAATCCAGAAGGGAAACGGAAAAGGTGAAGGTCAAAGAACACACTGTGTCGGGAATCGGAAGCAAACATGAGTAGTAACCGGAAAGGATTGCCCAGGACATAGTTGGATGGAGAATGCTAGTGAGCGGCCTATGCTCCTGGTTGAGGAGTAACGGGCGTAAGTATGTAAGCGGGTATATATGTTTCTATATGAGGTGTTACAAAACGTTAAAAACTAAAGCATATATGCAATGAAACTGTATAGAGAAAAAACGTCTTACTATCTTCTACAGCAGAACCCGTCAATAACATTTGTCTAGCATGACGAGCTAACTGAGCCCAAGTTTCTGTACAAAATTTACGATTTTCTACAGGCATGTACGGTAAACAACGTAAACGAGTTATTCGGTAATCAGGATGTCCACATAGATCCAATAAATAAGATGTTAATCGTTTTTTATCCTTAAAATGTTCTGGTTCAGTATAATTTATAGTTGGCTGTTGAAGAAGAAAAAGAGAAATAGAAATCACGAGATTTACTGTTATTTTATATTCATAAATCTATAGATACTACACTATTAAATGAACGCAGTGTAAACATATTTGACGAAATTGTGCAGATTCAATCATCACTTAACAAACCCATAAACGATTTGAATGTATTTGACATAGACAAATAGATATGCTGACTAGATCTAGAACAGCCTAAAGATAATAAATTGATCACTATATTTTTATTCAGAAGGGGTTTTGTGAAAATTTCAGTATTTCCATAGTTGAAATCATGAGTCAATTGGAGCTAGACCACCATGGAAAACCTGGAAGCACTGGACAGCCGTTTCGTCCCATTATGGGACTCCTCAGCAGTGCGGGGCAGGATCGCAGATGAGCACTTCCAGGTGTTTCATGGTGGTCTAGCTTCAATTGACTCATGATTTCAACTATCTTTTTGTTCTAAATTCATAATTAATAGCATTAGGTGAAAATACAGAAGTGCTGAACTTCAGAATCTATTGTCTGAGGGGTTAGGATGTATATGTATATTAATGTGTATTCATCATACAGTTCATACTGTCATCATATTATCTTTCGATTCATTGAATATGTTCATATATTTTCCAGTTTGTAAATGACTGTCAATTAATCACGCATATTCTTACTATAAATGTTGCAGCTTTGTGCAAATTGAGACTGACGATTTACATTACATCATTGTCTTGTATTATAATGTATATAATCAAGTGAATTTAAAATTTAAAAATAAAAAAAGCTAAATATCTAAATGACCTTTCTGAAGTTTCAAGTGAGAACACAGAAGAACATGTGTATTGTCTATTGATTCTTCAGTATATACACCAATCAGTGTTAGTGGGGGGAAACGGGATGCAGCTGCTTAAAGCTGACCAAGATAAATAAAAAATTTATGTAGTGTCAGTAATCTGCAATAAATCTTAGAGTAAAGAACTATCTAACACAGATTTATTGTGGTCAGAATTGAGAACACAATAAACCAAATGACTCAAGCAGTAAAAGAACTTTTTTGGACGATGATCATAACGATAACAATAAAACAATGTCATAACTAATAAAACGCAAAGGAAATAATGATAAACATATCATTACAACTATTGTGTCTTGCCACTGTGATGAGTTTATGAAACCAACTTGTAATTGATAAAAACTGAAAACAGTCTATTACATAGTTAATTAAGTAAGTCATTTTTATATTGTTTATCTATGTATATCCTAAAGTAACGTATAATTGATGATATAATGTAATGCATGACTGTCTTGTTAGGTGGATTACGAGTTATCCTAATGTAATTTTACTACCATACTTTTAGTTTTCATATCACACCAATGTGTAGACGATTATTTTGATTTAAGCTACTAATTCGCATACATTTTTTCCGTTCAGCACAGTAATGTACTGAGAAGACGACTAGAATTATGTTTCTTTACGCCGACAGAAAAATAAAAACAAACAGCATGAGGGCCCATACTTTAAACAATGCATATCAGTTCAAGTTAGCGAGGTTTATACCAGCTCACAGAAAAAAGGAAACAACAAAAGATAGACACGAAGGTTAGGAAATACATGTAAATGAATAGAAGTGCTTACAGAATTTTCAAAGGCCTAATATTTGTAAATCCATGGCATACAATACAAACCTGTAAAATCCCAGCTAACTGATGAGTAAGGAGAGCATTTAAATGATCCATACCGATTTGACAATTTGGATCACTAGCCAAAAGACGATTTGAACAAATTGAATGTAGCGTATCATTATGATGCATTATGAAACCATCGAGACTATTTGCTGTAGATGGAGACAACAAATGTCCAAGTGTAAGTATAGCATTATAAGCTTGAACAGATACTTCACCACGTGTAAATGGCCATATTAACTGTGAGAGCACACATGCTTTAGGTATAATGTCAGATAATTGTCTAAAATATAAATGAGATATGTATATTTGATAAATCAAGTCATGAATAAAAAAGAACAGCACACAGTTGTTGAGAAACAAGTAGCTGTTATACTTAAACACAGGATATTATTATCACCGAAAATTTGAAATAATGTTTTAAAGACGAATAAAACTTTGTCCCTCTATTACATAAAAAACAAAAGTTTTTAAGATTGAATTACTTGTAAACAGTAAATTAACAACGCTTAAATTTACTATAATGAGATATCATTCTAGCAAATTGAGATATGCAAATAAATTTGTCATCGTTCAAGGTGTTAGAATTCACATGAGTAGAGGAGTAAGGAAGATTTGTATATATACTTAACAAACGTCGCTTTCACTTCAAAATGAGTATTTTTGGATAAAAAGAATTAACTAAATCATTTTAGATATCAGTATACTTGTTCTTTTTAACCGTTTTTCCAAGAGGGAGATAGGGTATCAAGTGTATTTTGAATGAAAATTACCGCGCTAAGGATACCTATTACACTTTGAAAACAAAGTATGATATCACTTATATTTCAAATAGATTGAGCCTAAACAATATCTTTTAGAATCATTCAAGGCAGTAATGAAAAGAAATATGTCAAACATTTATCCAGTCTGTCTACAGGTGTCCTAATAATACACTTAATCCTAACAGTGGATTAGCATACTGCTCCATGTGATGTCCTTTTGAAATCCTGAAGAATCATTTCCATACCCATCATGTTTAAAACATTAAAAATTTCAGGGTTAATTTAACGGAAATACATATTTTGTGTATTGACAATGTCACAACCAACAAGGGCTTTACAACCATGAAATCTAATAAATATTTTCCTTATGAAGTGAACACTAATCATGAAACTCCTTAACACAGTACTGTAGAATTTATGAGGTATGCAAGAGAAAAATGGAAACCGAACAAAAATACGTAAGCACAACTAAAGTACATCTTAATCGATGGTAAACAAGACCACAAAACTAGTATATTCAATACAGACATTTGGCAAACGATCATCAGTTTTTCACTCAATGGATAAACTTCTCCAACATGCTACGAAACACAGTAAAGAATATATGGTGTATGTAAATCCAGCAAGTGATCAGTGAGAACAGATTTGTATTTTAGAAACTTATCAAGTGGTTCGAATGAACTTTGGAAGGCCAACACTCATAATTAGAAGACAGAAACAACGAAACATGCATACATACTGATCATTCTAAACTTGTCAATGGTTACAATTTCCTCGTAACTACTGATCCACTTCAAATGGCTAGTTTTCTCGTGAGAAATATGTTCCAGTTAGTTGTACAACTATAAATGAGATAATTAACCAGAGGATTTAGAGAATACAATGTTGCGGTTCCGTCAAGTGGTTGCATTTGCGCTGATGTCTTCATTAATTGTCCTTATTTTATTCTTCGACGTTTCGTTGTCCATCTTAATCAGTTTAGTAAGGAAAGCTTAAATATTAGTTGCAAATTTATTAACACAACGAAGATGAGAGCTACGACAGTAGCAGTAGTATTAGTAAATCTGTATGACGATAACCGATAATCCATACAACCAAACAGGAATCCAATACAGTCAGTTATGAGCACATAAATCTATATTTAAACAATAATAAAAAATAGGTATTCTAGCACCCCTGCAAATACATCAGTCGGCACTAAGCTATATAACTTAGTTTCCAGCAATTTATAAAGTTTGCCTTACAGATAACAAAGAACGTTACAAGAGAAAAGACTGATAACCAAAAATATTTCTAATCCAACAGATATAATTAAACAGTGAACATAACCACATTATTAAAGACTGTTTAAATCCATATTGTTCCTGTTAATCAATGAGGTTAACCAACCGAAGGACATCACTGTTGTTAGCCAACAGATACATAGACGGCTTACAAACTTTGAAAAGTTAAAATATTAGAAAAATTTATTAGTCTATGACTCTAAATAAATATTTCTTTAGATCAATATATACCGATATGCGGCAAGACTAACACTGAAGCTTACGTGAGTATTTTTGTGCCCACACCGGAACCTGTCCCACCAGCTAAACTCATAGATACCAAGATTCCATCTAGTGAATCACAATTTTCTAGTTGATTCTGAATTAAGCACTGTATTTGATCTTCGAATTCACTTCCATGAACAAAATAGCCGTACGCCCAATTATTACCTAGAAATCACAACTTGAGAATTAATGGGATACATCGCATCACAATTAAATTTCACTAACGCTCATCAGTGGTAAGTTTTAAAAATATACAAGGTGAGAGTCCGTGAATGCTTTTCTGTATGACAATAAGAGATACTATTGTGATAACAGCCTAACCATCTAGGCTTTTAGTTAAATGGGACTATGTTACCTCAACACCACAAACTTATCAGTGAGATTTCAAGTAGGAAAATCAACCTGTGAAGTGTTAGATGAAATTCGTATAAACTTAACTGAAACAGAAAGGATGAGAAACCCTGACTTACATTGATTAATATAGATTACTTTGATAACGGTTCATCATAAGCTCTAATTCAACTAGTAGTATTTTAGGGAACGATGGTAAATCAGTTGATGAGGTGATGAATCTTCATCGACTGAGATGGTTGGGCCATGTGTTACGTATGCCTGAACACCGATTACCACGACGCACTATGATGACTAGTGTAGGGGATTGTTGGAAGAGAGTTAGGAGCGGCCAAACCAAAACATGGCATCAGTGTTTGAAGTCACAAACTTCTAGTCTGAGCCATGTTGGTAGATGCAGACTACCTGGTTGGGGTCCGCGTGACTATCGTAACCAATGGTTGGAGACTATGGGTGACATGGCTCAGAATCGATCACAATGGCGTAGGTGTATACACTCTTTATCTTCCTTTAAACCTTGAGACTAAAATTGCTTCATATCTCTCCTCCTTCCTGTACTATATCCTTATATACAACCTATAATTTATATACTACTACCACCACTAAATTAATTACTTCTATGAACCCGGTGTTCATCTTGTTGTGCTAACGAGGTATGGCAACTTGGACCGATGCATAAATGTGCCTGGTCCTACGTTGTAGCTGACTGACTGAGTATTTTAGTAAAAGGCATTCAGTAAGTTGGTACACTTCACCAGTATGCCTTTGAATGAAGTGCATTAATGTATAATCTGTTGATCGACGAAGTTAAATCAACTCTTTAGGTTAGAAAGTACGACAAGAGTTGTGTCCCAAAAGTTTACGGCTGTATGTAAAACTTCCTTGGTTGGTTCACGATTTTTGTTAACAACCTCTAGTTGACCTAGTTGATTATAGAGGCTAATACTTTAAATGTCATTTGTCAGCAGTGGGCGATTAAAAACTAGCTGTAGCCCAGTTGATATGTTTCTGAAGGAATACTGTTTACTTCTGTAAGTGGATGATCTCAGTTTATATTAATATTTCGTTTACTCCAAATATGTTTATCAATAGATGACCTATAGACCCCATTTTCGACAAATCTAAACAGATGCCTAGTGTTTCCAATGTTGACTTTCTCACCTTCGTTACTTTCGTCAGCTCCCACCGTTCACCATCACATTATAAAACTTATGTCAATGTACATATAATAACCCTTAATTTATCATTTCGTTCAGAGCTAGTCGAAATAAATTTATAAACATCCATTAGTTTGGTACATATTTTCAAGCTAAGTAGTCTTTTTAAACTTCTTGGATTCCTACAGATGTCATAATTTTTATGTAAATAGATTTTATTTTCATTTGCGGTGATTTAAATAATTGAAAAACGTGTTCTGTAGTACTTAAAACTATATATTAACACACCATATTTGATGTAGTTAAATCAAGTTGGGGAAACTTTAAATATAAAATCAAAATATGACTATTTTATGATTAGTAACTGTTGATCTCAGCAATGCAAAGGAATATAAGCTAGACGATTTGAATCCTCGACAAATAACTCAGCAGTTAAAGACTGTATGCATTATAAATCAAATTCTGACTATTTAGAGAACTTTGACAATTCAGTAACCTTCCCATGTTTTACTTACTAGTTTCTTTGTTTGTGATTATCAGGACGTTTATGTAACATTATTACGCAGTATGATGAGTAAAAAGGTTTCAGTTTTTATGTTAACCAATGAATGACTATAAGTCCATCATTATTGAACCCCTTAACTGTTTTTGAAAGCAGCATTTCGACAAATAGTTAACCATGTATTTCTAAGAAGCATAACAGATTTATGTAATACAATATTACTGAAAATAAGAATATACACTGTGATCATGTAGTTACGTCATTTAAACTAAAAAAGTCTTAATATTAACTTACCTGAACCACATTTGGATGTGAAAAAGCTATTAGGAGAATAACCCCACTTTTCCGGACAGGTACTTTTGGTGACACTGGCAATAACCTTTTCTTCCATGTCTACCTGAACACACCTGGCTGTCAAACATCCTTCTGAAGCAAAGTCAAATTATAAACAGAATTTTTACTTGAAGATTGGTAGAAAAATGTATTTAATGAGTCTCTAATATAATCTGTATCGGTTTTTGATAGAAGTGAATTCTTCTTGGCACAACAGTCATCATATACAGTACTGAAAAATTTTGCTCCAATTTGATTACCACATTGGCCAATTTGAAGGGAAACTATAGACATTTGAACTGGAAAACAAAAGCATAGATCACAGTAAAATTGTCTAAAAATGACCGAATACATTCGAATATAATTTAAATTTATTTGTCAGTGCGACAAGCTATCAGTTTTTTAGATATGAGCAAGAAATATTTCAGTTTGAACTTGGGTCAATTTACTTCATATATCCTAACTATTTAACACATGCATTAATTTCTCAAGCAAATATTTTTCCCGCTCGAAATAGGGAAGACATTCTCCTGGGTACTCCTGTTATACATGGAAGCACTTTAAATGTAACTTGAGAATATAAGGATCCAACACTATTCCGTGAGGGAGGGATAAATTTGGAAGTTTTAAAATCCGAATATCAACTCCAGATCTTTCGAAAATGAGGAGGTGTTATATCTCGAAGAGAATTATGAATGGTAACTTTTGAGAACTATTTATTGACCAATATTATGTGCATATTTTTATTGTATAATTGTTAACTAACTAAACTATTCATATTTACGTCCCTCTTATTATAAGCTTTATTTTGACCTATGAACCATCATTATACGACTTACCATTTTTGAGTTATCCCCAGTCTATCAATTACTATCTCCCTTATTCACAGCCACATTTAGCTAAATCTTGCACAAATGTTGTTTCCTATTTTATGGTACGATGTGGTCTGTCAGCTTGGTATATAAACTCAGTGTGTTTGAAATAAATGATTCATACCGCAGAGGCTGAGATTGATATTCTGAACTTAACTGGCTGGGTTAGACAGAAAGCAGGACCGATAAGTACTCTAGACTGCTCGTACGGGTTTTATGTGTCATTGGTCCGATCGATAATTCACTGCTCTCTAACTGACCGTATTACCACGTTATACATTAACAGGGAATTCAGGCGGTCATAAGTTATCACATTGTCATAATCATGTAACCGCAAATTGTAGTTAATACGGCAGACAAAACGGCCAAGTTATTGATAATAATTTTGGCAATAATACTTTAAGGTAATACATGTTTTTTATTTATTATTATTTAAACACATTAATATTTGTACAAGGAAGCACCAGATACATATACGCCCGTTTGGAATGAGGGTTTCCCAACTCCCCTAGGTGGAATTTCCGTATCCACTAACCCGGTTAATGCGCCGGGCATTCGCTTTTCGTCCTCTCAATTTTGTAAACAACGCCTGTGGCACGAGAAGGCCTTCCCTGGCAGAGGCTATATACGCGTGGCCATGTGAGAGCATTTCGAGAGGGAGAGTGGACCCTCACCACTCTTGGCCGTACCAGGGCATTTGAGGGCAGGGTAGCATAAAAGTTTTGAAAATTAGTAAGAAATTGAATGGCTAAATTGAGGGAAAACCAAAGATCTTTTTAAATAGTGATAAAAATGATTGGGGTAACTACAATAATAGCTGACAAATAAACATAAAACATCTACTAAACGAACACATTATTTTTATTAATTAAAAAGGTTCTCAACAGAGAAAAGAATGCTTGTAAAGCTTAATTGTCAACGAAAATAATGCTAAGAAGGCAAGGAGAAACGATAGAATAAAACGGTGGTGTTGACTGAATAGTTTTAGATAAACGAGAAGAAGAGTTACCACTTTTCCTATGTTAAGTGGTAATTCTCTTTGTTTAATTTAATGTTTACTCAAAATGCTATAACTGGACTTATGTGACCTGAACCTATGATGTATTTGCCTACGACAATGCTAATCACTCTCAGTACATTTGCAGATTCTTCGGGACTTAAAGGTTCAAATAAGAATCAACTGTTTTCCCAGTGTATGTACTACCATAAGTAAATAAATGAATGCAATTGAAGGGAACAAGCGGTCGTTTGTTTAAAGCAGACACTAAGTAACCTTGGTTATGTCTATGAGATTATAATTGTTAATTTTTGCTAAAGTAAATAGTTAAAATTTCGGTCAACTGGGCAGAAATGTCTAATCTCATTAGCTTTGAATTTATCATTACACGACAAGAACATCACCAACATAGGTATGATTACCAAGGTTTTACTTGATAAAGTGAGCATTGGGTGGATTGTTATAAATAAAAATAATACATTTGTAATATCTCAATGAGTAAAGAAGCGGCTTATAGTGAGTCACGAAACGTCAGAGAATTTAATTTTTCTACTGACTGAGATATTACAAATATACTATTCTTATTTATCACCAAAATAGCCCATATCTATCTTGTTCCATCCAAGTGCTGTTTTGATTTTGATGTTCCCTAGTTTTACAAGCAAAAAATCTGCGAATACGTTAAATGGGGTGTACATCTTCAAAGAAGACCAAGTAGCCCTAGTTTTGCAGTCATAATTGGTTCCATCATATATTAGCTTGACTGAAACTTGTCGTTCACTCTGCACTATAAGATTTTAATGTCAGTGAGTTACACACATATTCCGTAACCTGTTATGGCAGTGTCAACTCGTTTATTATAGGCAAATCACAAAGTAATTTTAGTATTAAAACTACAAAAGTATGTACGGGTAAAGGGTTGTCGAAACTGTAAAATAATTTGACGTCCTTCAAATATAAGTAAAAATATAGTAACCCAGAAAGTTAACCAAACCACTGGCAAAAACAGTTATACGCAGACGCTTTAGAACTTTCAGCTACGTATTTATAGATAAAGATTCAAAAACGAGTCGATAACTCTTCTACGTAACTGTTATTGTAATACTTTCATCAGAAAGATCTTTAAAATATCACGAATAAGATAATACAAAGTTCGAATCTAAGTTATGCCGGATGGAGAAAAGTAAAATTGTTTTAAAGACACTAAATTAAGTAGTCATATCAGAGATAACTAACCTAATTAGTTGTTTGACTTTAGTACTAATTCCGCTACAAGCACTTCCCAATCAAAAGCTAAAATATGCGGGGTGATTTCCAAACATTCTGGGGAATGCTGACGAATCAAATCATAACAACAAGATTATTTTTTACATTTTCGAAATTTTCATTTTTCCGACTTGATCATAATCTAAAAATCACTTGAAGATGCCAAATTTCGGATTCAATCAATATTTTGCAAATTTTAGTTGGGAAACGCTGACAGGTTAAGACTTGTCTTAAAACGAAATCGTTTTTGATAGATGTATTATATGTACTCATAGTTGAAGCTGTACTAGTTCTATCACCGTTGGGCACGATAAAAGCCCACAACCGAACAAAACACAAAACTGGGCAACTTCCGGGCGTTTACCGGTTGACCAAAGCCTCGATAAAAAACAATCTAAACGAACATTGTCTCTTACGGTCCACATTTATTTGAAAACGCGCTTTCCCGTGTCCTAGCACTTGTAGCTGTAAATAATTCCCCAAAATCAATAGCTCATTAAGTGTTCGACATTAGATGCTGACCACGTTGTTTAAGTGGACTTGTTTAGCTGAAGGCTTTCGGTCATGCATCCGCACCAGAGCACGTTTCAATACTGCGTGGGACACAGCTCCTACGTTTCATTAGCCAGCTCATAGAAAAGGTCCTCGATATATTGGTAACGAATCAAATATATCTTTCCTGCCTCTTCTCGTTTGACTTCTGATTTTCTATCTGACTGGGAACGATCAAATATAGGAGGTGCTACTGGTAGCTAGTTGTAAAACTAGAACATCCGTTGCATCATCATTGGTGAACCCGACGTGATCTGGTACACCAAGTCAATATACTGTGAGTCTGTTCCATTTTGGAATATTATTATTTATTGTTATTCTTTATTTGAATTTTATATATTGTGATATACCTTTTTTTTCTCGGATATATTTTACTTAGACATTTTTCGATATCTATATTACTATGACGGAACACTCTCCTAAGGTTCTTAAATTAAAGTCTATTCCCCCTATTTCGATTCAGTTAACGCCATTTTGGCCCGACAATATCGAGTCCTGGTTCTGCTATGCAGAAGCCGATTTTTGCATGCACGGAATCACGGACTCGCGCACACGTTTCCTCGCGGTAGTTAAGGCGTTACCGCGCGAGTTTAACAGGTACGTAACACCTAGTATGTTTACTAGTGATGTTTCCGAACCTTACGAATCGCTTAAGCTATCGATTTTAAAACGAGGAGACCTAACTGATCGACAACGGTTAGACCAACTCCTTAACAATATCGACTTGCAACATGGTTCTGCGACGGACATGTTGCTTAGAATGAGAGAAGTCATCGGCCAACGAACTTTCGATGATGGCCTATTTAGACAACTTTTCTTGTCTAAACTCCCTCAACAGGTGCAGGCAGTGCTTGTTTCATTTCAAAACAATGCCATAGATGAACTAGCTGCATCTGCCGATCGAATCTTGGAAATCACTAGATCTTCTAAGGCCGAGGTTTTTTCCGTCAAAGAAAAACCCCAATCGACCTCGACTGACATGGCCGAACTATGTCACACGCTTACACGATATCTTAGAGTTCGCAATGACCGTAGTCGGTCAAAAACCCCGCGTAGAAGCGCCTCACGTAAGCTATCTGGCTCTCGACCACGAGAGACAGACAATCCCGACTGGTGCTGGTATCATAACCAGTACGGTAAGTTTTCCAGAAACTGCAGGAAACCTTGCAATTATCCGACCCCAAAATCGAGTGACACGAAAAACAGTTCGGGAAACTTCCCAGCCGGCACGCGTTAACGGCAACCGTAGCCGGCGAACACAGCCGCCTCTTATATGTCACGGATGTGACTACGAAAGTTCGCTACCTCGTCGACACTGGCGCAGAAGTTAGCGTTCTTCCAGCAAATCTCGACGACAGACTTCGCGAGTCTGTTTTAAGTTTACAGGCGGCAAACGGAAAGCCGATCGCTACTTACGGTAAAAGGTACGTCTACCTTAACGTGGGTTTACGTAAACCCATACACTAGATTTTCGTGGTTGCAGATGTCTCTATGCCAATCATTGGTATTGACCTGTTACAACACCACAATCTACTCATCGACACACGCGCACGAAGGTTAATAGACGGAAACACTAAGTTGTCCGTTTGCGTAACTCCTTGTTCTGGTTGCAGGTTATCCCCAGTCACGATTAAGCACGCCATAGACCCCTTGTACCAAGCAGTACTCGACAAATACCCCGGGATATACCAATCGCAATCGAAATTACCTTGTGTAACCAGCAATGTTACACATCACATCTCGACTACAGGACCACCTGTATTTTCGAAAGCCCGAAGACTCGCTCCCGAAAAACTTAGGTTGGCTAAAAACGAATTCAACCACATGATGGACCTAGGAATAATTCGACCATCGAATAGTCCATGGGCATCCCCATTGCACATGGTCCCTAAAAAGGACAGCAATGATTGGCGGCCAACTGGTGATTATCGGCGTCTGAATGCTAAAACCATTCCCGATCGTTACCCGCTGCCTCATATTCGCGATTTGACAGCTACCTTGAAAGGTACAACTGTCTTTTCGAAAATCGACTTGGTTAAAGCTTATAGCCAAATCCCGATGGCAACTGACGACATTCCTAAAACCGCCATCATCACTCCCTTCGGTCTTTACGAATTTCTACGAATGCCCTTTGGTTTAAGAAACGCGGCTCAAACCTTCCAAAGGTTTATAGACGACGTCTTCCGAGGTCTCAACTTCATGCATGCGTATGTTGATGACTGTCTAATAGCAAGTCCGGACAAAGAATCGCATCTCAAGCATCTGGACATTGTTTTCGATCGACTCCAAAGGCATGGCATTACTGTCAGCATTCAGAAATGCCAAATCGGAACTAACTGCTTAGACTTCTTAGGACACACTATTGATGCTCAAGGCATCCGACCACTTAGGAGCAAAGTGGCGGCCATTCTGGATTACCCAGAACCGACCACGATCAAGCAGTTACGAACTTTCAACGGATTCGTAAGTTTCTATAGACGGTTCATACCTAAATGCGCGTCCCTAATGAAACCGTTAACCGATCAGCTTCGTGGAAATGCGAAATCAATTAGTTTAGACGACATAGCTCGTAAAGCATTTTCCACAGTTAAGGAACACATCGCTAAAGCAACCTTGCTTGCTCATCAGGACAGTCAAGCGCCCATTAGTATCGCCGTAGACGCATCCGACTCAGCAATCGGAGCAGTCTTACAACAATGGGTTAACAACTCGTGGCAACCTTTAGGATTTTTCTCGAGACGGTTGCTAGACGCTGAATCTAGGTACAGCACGTTCGGTAGGGAACTCCTAGCTATGTATTGTGCTGTACGGCATTTTCAACATTCCATCGAAGGAAGAGAATTCACGCTCTTTACCGATCACAAACCTCTTACCTTCTCTTTAAGTTCATCTTCAGACAAGTACTCACCAAGAGAGTCTCGACAACTCGACTACATTTCGCAGTTTACTTCAGACATACAACATATTTCTGGAGCAAACAATGTAGTCGCAGACGCCTTGTCTCGAATTAGCTCCTTGAACAGTTTCCAAGGAATCGACCTTCTTAAACTCGCTCAGCTTCAAAAAGAAGACATTGATCTTCAGCATGAGTTATCCTCGACAACTCTTAAACTAAGTATTAGGCAGATGGGAACAGGTAAGGAAACCTTACTCTGTGACACATCTACAGGTAGGGATCGTCCAATAGTACCAAAACATTATCGACACAACGTCTTCAATACGTTGCACAATCTTTCTCATCCTGGTGCTCGTGCAACAGTCAAACTTATAGCCGAACGGTTTTGCTGGCCTGGCATGAAGACGTGAGGGAGTGGGCACGCTCCTGTGTAAGCTGTCAGAAATCTAAGGTCATAAGACACAACAAATGTCCCTTAGGTTCTTTCAAAACCCCTGACGCTCGTTTCGACCACGTCCATCTAGATTTGGTAGGACCCTTACCCGACTTGAACGGATACTCATATCTCCTAACATGCGTAGACCGTTTTACTCGATGGCCAGAAGCAGTACCGATTAAGGACATTACTGCTGAAACAGTGGCTCGCACTTTCGTCGAACGATGGGTAGCAAATTTCGGCTGCCCTTCAACCATCACTACAGACCGTGGACGCCAGTTCGAATCTGGACTGTTCCGTTGTCTGACCACACTTTTAGGAATCACGCGCTTCCGAACGACCGCCTACCACCCACAAGCAAACGGGTTGGTAGAACGTTTTCATCGACAATTAAAAGCTTCATTATCAGCTTCAAACGTTTCACAGTGGACAGACGCTCTTCCACTCGTCTTGCTAGGTATCCGCAATGCAGTGAAAGCTGACATTGGATACACGGCATCTCAACTCGTTTACGGAACGACACTCCGACTCCCAGGAGAATTCGTGGATCCTTCAGCTTCTTCATTGAACATGGATCTAAACTCTTACACGAGTAGGCTTACAAACGCTATGCGTTCAGTTAAACCTGCTCACACTCGACCTCAATCAACTGATGTTTTCGTTCAACCCGAATTACGACATAGTACACACGTCTTCGTTCGTCGAGACTCACATCGACGACCCCTCGAATCAGCATACGAAGGACCCTTCAAAGTTCTTCAACGCGAACCTAAGTACTATGTAGTTGATAAGAACGGTACGAAAGATAGCATCAGTATCGATCGACTCAAAGCAGCGTACTTAGAAGGAAACCCTAGCTACGTCGATTTTCCTTCGGTACAAGCAAACAACACAGCAACTACACCTGTAGTACCCCGCACGACAACCGACACACAACTTGATACTTCGTCAACGTCGATAGAAAAACCTAAAACAACGCGTTCTGGAAGACGAGTAAGATTTCCAGAACATCTTAACGAATATTGCACGTAGGACATAAGCTTTATCTGGAATTACCCTTTCAAAGTTTATTATAAATTTTTTTTAATATGCTCATTTTTTTATTTATGTAAAAAAAAACAAAAAAAAACAACATTTTTTTTGAGCGTATATATATATATATTTATATATTAAAAAAAAACCCAAAAGAAAACCTTTTTTCCGATCGCTTTTACGCTGTTTGTAAGTGTATCAGTTTATTTTTTTCCGCTCATCTTGTGTCCTTACGCAAGTACGAGTGTATTTTTGACATGCACTCACACGTTTTATTTTTCCTCTTTTCCAGGACGGCTGGAAAAGAACGACGAAGTTTCGCAAGGAACAGAAATTTTCATTGTACTATATTTCTTTATTTGCTACGTTGTACATTTTGGTCCCATAGTTTAAGGAAAGACGACCAGACGCTGCTAAACGAAGCAAGCTATCAGAAGAGTGTTTACCAACGACAAATTCGTTGGGTTTAAACTTCTGGCTGGTCACGTCTTAGGGGCATCACTACCTCACTAGGGGGGGAGTGATCTGTAGCTGTAAATAATTCCCCAAAATCAATAGCTCATTAAGTGTTCGACATTAGATGCTGACCACGTTGTTTAAGTG